GTGTGTGTGTGTGTGTGTGTGTGTGTGTGTCTGGACCAGTGAGGGCCAGCACCTACAGATGACACACATCCTGCATGCTGCACAGAGACCGAGGTTTGAAATAGTTGTTGATTTGTGAATCTGCACCATCGTAAGTCACTTTTTGTAATAGTATAAATGAGAGAGTTTTATATTGTGTGCTTTGATTTTGAAAAAAGGGCGGTACTCTTGTTGTAGCCATGTTGACCCTGATTGACAGTTTTTTGTTTTGTTTTTCCTCCCCTGTATGGAGAGAAGAGAGGAGAGTTCTTTGAATAAATGGAGATGAGCTCCCCTGCTCCAAATTTATTTGACTCTGTGGTTCTCAGTGTGCAGGTTTCCAGCCCTCATAGCTCGCACGTTACAGGGAGTACTAATTGAAGGGGGTAAAAAAAATTGATCCTTTTTGTTCGAACATCACTTTTCTGTTTCTCTGTCAGGAGTTAAGTAAGGATTTTATCTTTTCTTTTTTTTTTGTAGGTAAATATATGGTTAAGTAGATGGTTTTGTTTGACAATACTTTAAATTAAATAAAACAAGCAACACTTTACGTTCTGTTTTATTTACTGTAAAGAAGTGAGGAGTAGGGAGAAGAAAAATTATTTTTTTTTGAAACAGACTGGTCGAGTAGCTCTCGGCAAACTGCATACTTTAAAAGTAGCTCTTGGTTCAACAAAGGTTGGGCACCCCTGATGTAAATGCAATAGAAATTAAACCAAGATTTAGAATAATTATCATTTTATCCATACATTGGTAATGTCTGACTGGGCCACTTTATGTTCAATAAATTGGGCACCGATGTCAAAAAGGTTAAGAACTCCTGCTCTACACAATGACTGTAAAGGTTTATCTTATTTTATCTTATCTTAAAACTACACTCACCTGCCACTTTATTAGGTACACCACGCTAGTAACGGGTTGGACCCCCTTTTGCCTTCAGAACGTTGGTTACGTATTGTAACCCCAGATTCTATGAGTGTAAGCGCAGCCCTCTAAGGCTATCGCAGATGGGTACCCCACGCGCGCGCTCGCGCATTCTGAAGAGCC